TATGTTCAAAAGACATATATAATATAATAAAGAATAGCCAGAAAATAATGATGATAAAGGGGAAATACGATTGCTTTTTACTTCCCTATCCTTATCTGAAGGATTTTGGTAGCAGTGGATATGAATTTGTAAAATCCTAATGAAACCAAGAGCAGCTCCCAACTCTTGCAATAGATTGGGTGTGGAGTGAAAGTTTAACTTCTGCTTTCATCAGAACAGTCCCACAGAAGTCCAAACTGCAACAGCTTCTTTTATGGTAAAAAATTAACACTTGGTTAATAAATTGTTGTAGCTGAGGATAATTTTTGATATTTACTTTAAAAAACCTCTACATATGGTGAAACATTTGGCTGACGTACATGAGTTAGAAGCCACACAGTGACATTCAAGTGGGCTGTATGTTCTTTGTACTCGCGGCTGTGCTGGCTCCCAGAAATGTTTATACTGCTCCGTGCTGCGCTGTGGTTTGCTTCTGCTGTCTTTGCTGAGGAGTGTAATAACCACGTGTGCTTGTGGCATCCCCTCTCACAGCCCCCGGGCGCTGGCGCGGCCTTTGCGGGGCGCTGGCGTCGCGCGCCGCTTTCTTGGCTCCTGGGCCTGTTCCTCCTGCTGTCCTCTCGGACCGAGGTGTCGGAGGTGGCTGTAGTCTACGTGTTAATGAACGTGACTGCTCCCCCAACGCGCTGATTTTTGGCTGCATTACAAGAAACAAATTGCTTCAAGCTGGAGGCCTGGTGACAGTTCAGCAACTGGCCTGGCTGCTGCTTTATACCCCAGGTACCTGCATAGCCAGGCATCAGGTATCTCCTTTGATGTCTCGTCTGATTAATTCATGAAGACCTAGCACATCCTCTGGACGTAAGAGTAGGAAAGCTATAAATATCTGATTATGACATAGAAATGCTTGCTGTCACAGATGGACTTGAGATCCTTTTTGATTTTTTTTCTTTTTTTTCCTGGGAATCAAACTGTTCTCTTGTAGTTATCCCAGTACTTAAATAGCACATGCCAGAACTTACTGGGCTGCAAACAATATTGTCGTTGGTCTTTATGGACATGGCACCAAACAGCCTGCTAACCAAATAAGCAGGTGTTTGGAAATCAAGATTATTTTATCCAGTGTCATGTTTGAGCTGATTCAGTTTGAAATTATGTGCCAGAGACCTACGGCATGTACTCGGACCATATGCTCTGTGCATTTGGAGAACAGGAGTACATGGATCTGGGGAGGGTTGTCTGTGTTAGCGCTTGCCACATCGTGTAGCAACAAGCACAACATCCAGTTTTCTGTTTGACTCTTTTTCTGACTTTGGGGGAATTTTCTTTCATCTTTTCCATCAACTTTTTCCACTGCTGCACTCCTGGTGTTTGGAAAGGTTTCCTGTATGGCTTTCCTATCTTGCTGTGTGTGATTTGGATGAACATGAAACAAGAAAAAAATTACCAATGAGAGGTTACCCCCTGTGACAGACTTTCACATCACTCTGCTGTCACGTGTGCTTTGTTTTGTCCCCTCTGTTCCTTGCCAGCCATGGAGAGTGAAGGTGAGGTTTCTGCCTGTGACTTTGTTCCGTTTGTGCTGCACCTAAAGCTTTCTAATCACTAACCCTGAGAAGAAGAAATGGTTATAGCCCACTTCTGTGAACTTTTAGTTGATGCAGAGTGTTTTCTGTAGTCCATTTTTGGTAATTGATCAGCTAATTGCTCCGCTTTAGAAAAGACTTGCTCTTTGGTTTGCTTTTAAATGCCAGGGAAGTATGATTACTTGGTTTTGCATGCTTTTTTTGCATTGTGTTTGGAGTTTGAGCTTTCTGGCCATGTCACTTCTCAAACTGTTCAGTAAGATCCCTTCCTGCTGGTCGCAGGTGGCTGTTGAGTCCGTGTCTCTGCTTTTTGTTGCGCTTGTTTTCTTTTATGTCAGGTGAAGCATGGCAGATCAAAGCACATGCCCACCTTGCCCAAAATAATCTCCATCTCCCTTATGCTCTTGTCTCTGTCATTAAATACCTTGATTAACTTCACTTCTCCTGCTCCCTCAGGATCCCTTACTCCAAATTGAAAGGAAAACAGTGGTATCAAGATGTCCCCGTAATGAACCTAAGTAACCGTGTAATCTTATTATGGAATCTCTCATCTTTGCTTTTCTCTCTCGCTGTCTGGTGGACTTGCTCATTGCATCGTATCTAAAATTAGATGAAAATCTCTTTGGAATCAAGCTGCCTTTTCCCCATCCCCCTGCTTTTCCCCCTGCTTTGCCTTGGTGTGCAAGGGCCTCTCCTTCAGTACCAGATATTCTTAATTTTTGTCCACTTAAAAGTTCCATCCAGTTGATGAAACTGCAGTTAAAAACAAAATTGGTAGATGAAGTAGGCCTATGTTTAAGTAGCATATGTGGTTGTTAGGCATGAGTGTGTTAGGAGATCATTAGAGACTTAATTTCTTTGCTTTTTCAGATAATTCCAAGTTGTTTTCTTTACTCTTTTGAGCTGCCTTTTGAAAGGTGTGGATAAATATTTCCCTGTAATATTAAGCTATATTCTAGTGACTTGTTCCATCTCTTACCCTGCTTAACTCTACAAGGAGAACTGAACGCTGCTGCAACAAAATCCCAGTGTTAATTATCATGTTTCTCTGTAGTTTTCTCCAGATAATTCATAAACCAAGCAGACATTTGTAAGAAACTTGAGGTAAACAATTTCCAACTTCGTGGAGCTGGACAAAATTAGAAGCACGTGTTTATTTCTCGGTCGCTTGGAAATATCTTTCCAGATTCCCAGCCTTGAAGCTCCAGCTCTGTACACGTTAGGATGTAGCCTCTTCTTTCCACCTCCGCTTTCCAGAGTGCTTCCCTGTCAAATGTACTTACCCATGTGCCCTAAGAGCAAGGGGAATTTCTAAGCATCAGCTCCTCCTGACTTGATACCGTTTGGTAAATGTGTTAAATAGGTTTCAATTTTTTTTTTAATTTTTTTTCACCCATTCTACTCTGTGCTTTTTTTTTTTTCTCTCTGAAGGAAAGAGCTAAATAGCTGGAAAGCTGGTTAGATATGTCTAGGGAAATATCAAGCATTTCTTCAGCCGTGCTATGCTCAAAACTAATATAAAAGAAAAGCATATTGGAAAGAAAAAAAAAAGAATAGAGGAAGAAAAAAAACCACAAACCCTCAGAGTTGTTGCATAGAAACCAGAAAATCAAATCATAGCGTACTGTAATATCTCAGAATTCATTTCTGAATTCAATTTTATTCGTTGATCAATAGATCACAGAAACAAAGAGATTCAATTCTGTGTAAATGGCAGGGATGAGTCGTGCATCACTGCTTATGCGGATGATTTTGGACAGCTTTGGCCTCTTTTTGACATGCTGAAAACAAAGATGAAGTCTAGATTTAGCTGTTTGTGATGGAATCTTTTGTGTCAGCCCTAAATGAATAATATATCCAAGTTTAATGATGATTAATAAAATCAAGGGTGGGTTTTTTTTGTCCGTCTTTTCTGAATACTTGGATGCAAATGGAGCCCAGCTGCCAAGCAGCTGGCGCGTTTCCAGCACGGCTTTTAGCGCCGCTTATGAGCACTCGCCTTTCATTAGAGCCTTTCAGTGCCCGCGCGCCGGGACACAAGTGATTTACTTCGGCGTGGCAGTTGGAATTCTGCTGCATTTCAGAATTTTCATATCTTTGCTATCTTACCTTCTGCTTGTGTGTATGACTATGGTTTCTAGGAATTGGAAGATAGTGGGTTTTTTCATTTTGTTCTTCCTAAATTAATTATTTTTATAAGAATTACTGAATAATACCTTAAAGCATCCATTATAAAGGTTTTGATCTGAGTTATGATCTGAAATTTGTCTCCTGCCAGATTTGGTAAGCTTAATAAAAACTCTAGTATGTCATTGGTAGCACGCTCGTTACTGCAGGGCTATTTTTTTTTAGTATATTTTAAAAATAAAAAAGCAAAAGAAAACAACAACAACAAAACTCCAAAATCCCCCTAAATTTTAGAAATTGAAAGACATAATCATTAAAAAGAGATGTAAGGGCAGCTAAGACAGAAGTTGTGGAGAGGAGAGTAATGGCTTAAACAGAAGTAACCTTAAGGTACAAAAGATGCGTTAGTTGAATGCTGCTTCTTAAAGCAGTTTGATCTCAGTGGTAGTTTTTGTGCAGTGTTTTGGGTTGCATTATAAATAAAACATTCTGTCAGCCTGCCAGAAGTGCCAAAACATTTAATCGTAGCTGTTGGGATTTAGAAAGGTTGTTTCTTGCCCTGTGAGTGGGTGCTTGTTCTTCGGGGTTTTGTTTGTTTGGTCTCTGCTGCTTGTAGGACACGTTACTGTTTGTATGTGAGAAATACTCCAGGCTTCGGCTTTTTTTTGCCTGTTTGCTGTTTTTTCCTTCCAGGCAGACTAGGAATTCTAGTGGGAGTTCTGCCTTTCAGTATTAAACGTATCAGTGTGTGTCTCGATGGGCGGGAGGGGAGGAACACACAGACTTTGGTGCATTCTTCCCTGGGCTGGGCTAACGCTCACCAAAGTCCTAATGTATTAGAAAGCCTCAGCAGGGATTTGCCGAGAACTAATGCTGCAATGTGTTAGTCATCCGTTATCCGCTTCTATTTTTGCAGGTTCTGGAGGATGACTGACGTGGGCTTTGGCGATGCCACTTAGCGCTGCCGGCCGTGCGGCTTGATAGGCGACCTGCAGGACCGCCTGGCGAAAGCGCTGCTCCGCAAGTGGACCGAAGCAGGGGCTCATCTGGCTGCGAGGGCAGACTCTTTGCTGGCCTCCTACAGCTGATCATAAAGCCAGGGAAGCTCCATCCTCCTCGCCGCTTCGCAGCGCGTCACCGCGCGAGGCAGATGGTGTGTCGGGAGCTGCCGCAGGGCAGCTGCTGGGCGCTCCGGAGCCCGCTCGCTGTCTTCAAGGGGGGGGTTGTGCGGAGGAGCTTGATTCCGGGCGTGCTTTAGGGCTGCCCCCTATGAGGGGGGTGGGAAGTAGTATGTCCGGCTTAAAAAAGCCTGTGGGGTTTGTGGGGTTTTGCTCCCTTATTCTGAGCAGCCTTTCTGTAATATCAAAAGGGCATTCTTTTTGTTGTGTGACAGCCTGGCTATTGTTTTACTCTCACGTTGCTCTCTGAAATAGGCATTTTCTCTATTAGAATGATTAAACAGTAATTAACAGAAATTCTTGTAGAACCCCCAAGGGTATTTGAGACTTGAGACTTGACTTTGAGTCAGTGAGTAAATATATGTTCCCTGCCCCTGTTAGCTTGCAGTGTAAACCTATGTGCTTCAATGAGGAAGCATTAGCTAACTTAAAATGAGAGAATCCCAGAGATATTTTTGGAGTCCTGAATGTAAAGTTACATAGACAGATTTGAAAGTAGCACATAGAGAAGTAGTCTCTTAACTCCTCAAAAAAGTGTTATTGTATATGAGGAAAACTGTGCATTGTAGCTTAATATTATTTCTATACATATACATTCAAAATGTATACTACAGTTGAGTTACATCTCATATGTTTTAGTTATTCTTCATAGTGATCGACAACCTTATTTTATGTTGCATTCAATACAGACCTCCTTAACAATCATATGAAGTTATAAAACTTGCTGCTTTACTTTGCTAGCAAACAGTGAGAAGGCAGACTTGTATTAATGACATAGTGTCTGAAATGAAAAATTTCCCCCTTACATGTAATTTAGTTTTAAATTATGTAGTATTCAAGTATTAAAATTCTACATTAAAAAAATACATCTAAAGTATTAAATTCTACATCAGGTATGTAGTCTTTTTTTTTTAAAAAGGTTTTTTTTTGTGTGTGTGTGTGATTTAATTCTTTATCTGCACACATAGACTCTTATTTAGAGGAATTGACAGGGTGCATTGAGTATTTTATTTCTTTTAAACCAATGCTGTGTAAGGTAGTCTATCTGATTATTTATAGGAACTGCTTCCAAACATGCTTGGTAACTAAAGTGCTCTTGCCTGTTCACAAAAGAGTGAAGCTCCCAGATTGTTTTTGGAGTCACTCAGAGTTGTCCAACTTTTTGTTTCAAAGTCCAGTCTTTTTAGAATGATAAAAAAAAAAAGTCAGTATTTTTGAAATCTTTCCTTCTTTTTAAGGTATAAAGATACTACTAGGTCTCTTTCCAATGAATGCCTCGGAAGCAACAGGCCAGTGATTTCTCTTGGTCTATCAGATTTTGCACTGGATATTCGCATGCCTGGGGTAACTCCTAAGCAGGTGAGACAAATGCCTTTTTTCTTACTGCTGCTTATTCTTTGTTTCGTATTTAGGAAAATAACGTGTTAACTTTTATGCCAGCAAATAAGCAGGGTAACTTTCACAAATCTGTGTGTGTTTCAGAGATGAGCAGAAATCAGAAAAGTCAGATGAAAGAAAAGTCTTTTTACTTGATGAACTTGTAGCATGTTAGTTTTATAAGCTGAAATGCTGAAGTTTATTCTGGGGACATAGCAGTGGAATAATAACATATTAAAACAAGGAGAATGACTCTTTTTAGAGTGAAATACTCTACTACATGTGCTACTAAGATCCCTTTTTTTTTTTTTTTCTTCATATTTGCAGCTGACATGAAATCTCAAGTAGTGTCTTAGTGCCTTCAGTTAAACTGAACATTGCACAACCCGGGCAAGTGGAGAGAGACTAATCATAAAGCACTCTTTAAGATAATAATTATGACCCAGTGTTTTAACCCTTAAATTAGCCCAGGAAAGCTACTGTAAACAGCTTCAAACAATAAACCATTTAATATCAGAAAGAGTATATCTTCTACTGAGCCAAATGAGTAAGAATGAAGAATTTTTTTTCAGGTATGTGTGTTAAGAATCACACACAATTCTGAATCTCTAGTGTCACTTTTGCAGATAGTTTCATTAAGTGAGATGCAACTGATTGTTTTTCTTGCAGCCTGGCCATGCACGGAGTTATGTATGTCATTAAAAGACCATGCTTTTCTTTAAAAGGGCTGCAGAGGGTTGCGAAGAACATGATGTTGTGCTGCAGTAGCTGATGACTCATTGTTGCAGATAGCACTTTCCAAAAAAACTGACAGGGAAAGTGAGGTTTTTGGTTATTGGGGAGCACCCCTCTTTAACATGTAATTTGGAGAAAGCTGTGTCATTCCAGAGAGCGCCAAGCAGAAATGTGTTTTTTCTAGAAAACCTCTGTCTGCATTAAAATGTTAGATGCTTTTTGAAAAGATTGAAAACTATTCTCCATTTATCAAGCTGCATATTTGGAATTTGTTTTGTTTTTATTATTTAACCTTAGGATGCATTAGATGAAGATTTAAGAACATGGTAAACTGTGAAGAGATAGGTTACTTTACTTCTTCTCCCACCACGTTTTTTTGGAGAAAGCTATAGTAGTTGATGGGGGGGGGAATATTCCCATTCATTTATGTGGGCCTGTGTCCAAAAGTAGTATTAGCTGCATGTATTTTAAGTTTTGCTCATGTTTCTTGTACTTTTTCCCCCCTCTACTGCTGTCCTCAGTGCCACACACTAACTATATAGGAAAACTTGTCTCTTTTAGAGAAATGGAACATTGTTATACTCAGCAAGAATTAATGGCAGAAAAGATGCTCTTTATTTTCTTGCACTCCACAGCAGTATGCTGCCAACAGCTTTGTCGGTCTTAAGATGGCTAGTTTGCCCTTGACAGAAAAATCACAAAAGGGAAGGAATTCTATACCTATTTTAGAGGATTTTTATTTTATTTTATTTTATTTTTCTTAATGTAGTGCCTTTTTACTAGTTAAGTCACCTTTTTGGTGTACCCATTGGCCCCAGTTGGGGCTGAAGATGTGGGCTTGGTGAGTGTGGCTTTGCTGTGAGTTCCAGTTGTCCGTATGGGTGATTATATAGGAGGGTATATGGGAAAGAGAAGGGTTTGTGCTGCCAGGATCTGTATGCAAGTTTGCCTCCCCTTGGGCAGGATGCCAAAATACGTCCGTGAAATGAAGGGGACAGGGGCACTTCAAGTGCTTTATTATGAGCTCTTGGGAGACGTGTCACTATTTTGGTGATGCCTAATTCCAATTCCTGAGTTTTCAATCATAACTCTTTGTGTAGGGGAAGAAAAAAAAAGGGTGAGGGGGAGAAACAAAATCACTGGAGATGTAAATGAATTAAAAATGTAGAGAACAAAGCAGTAACTTTAGAGCAGCATTGGTACATTTTATAGTGTCTGTTTTTTCACTTGTATTTTTGCAGGGAAGAGGAAATACTGTGTTTCAGTTGTATCATTGTGCTGTAGTTTGATGCAGAGAAGTAGAAGCTTTATTCAGGTCAGCAATTGGTTAATCCGAGGAATTAAGAGTGATATATTTTGTGTGATGGGGAAGAACTTTCTTCTAATGTTCTACATGAAAGATGCAGAAGTAATAGTGCAGATGGAAAAGGCTTCAAGAGGAAAACTGAGTAGCTGCAGTGCCAAAAAACAGGGCTATATTGATTATTGAGATTAAACTCATTATGAAAGCTAGTGAATCTGCTAAATGAAGAATTTAGTCTCCTGATTGATCAAAAAAAAAAGTCTGCTTGCTCATTTAACGTTTATATATTTTAATTTTCTTTAAAAGATAAGTAATTATACAAGGATATAGTAAAATATTGTGCTAATTTGTAATACTGTTTTATGTAGTTGACGATGTTGAATATGTAAACAAAGTATGTTGTTCAGTAAGACTCAAGTTAATGTAGTGTTCAAGCAGAGAATTCATGAATTATGCTGCTGGAGGGGACCGTGATGATGATCTAGTCTAAGCTTTTGCATGAAGCTTGCCATTGGATTTTGCTTAGTATTTTTCATTTGGAGGCCCGTTACTTGTGATCAAGCTAGAGTTAATATTTTTAGGATGACTTGTTAGTGTTCATTTGAGGACAGTGAATAGGGAATAGAAGCATAGTTAGTTTGCAGAAAGGGGTCTCCTAAAACTACTTAGTTCTTTGTACCTTATGACCTGCAGTAGACCTGCAGTTGGAAGGGTTTTGTAAAATGATGTGTTGTTCCACAAAAGGTTAAATTCTTGGCTGTTTAGTCAAAAATAGCTCCAAGCTGGAAAAAGAAAGGCTGGTATTGAGACAACATTGCTGCTGTGTTGAATGCTTCCATAGCATCACTGAGGCAATCACCTTTAGTTTTAATTTCTGAAGTCCTTGATATTCCACTGTGGCCTAATTCCCTTGAGCTTCCCAGGTAATTCTTGTCAGTTGAAAACAGATAATGTAAATTAACTTCTTTGGATTCCAAAAAGCCTAACCATCTGTGTGTATTACTGCAAAACGGAGGTGAAGCTTTGGGCCTACCTGTGAGGGTATGCATGAGAACACCCTTACGAGAATTCATGTTGTTGTTTTGGAAGGATTACTGTAGGGATCGTTGCATTCCCTTAATTTATAGGCATACAGGTAACCTACAGCTTAAACTCTCCAAACTTGTAAGCCAGGTCTACAGAGGAAGTGAAAGCATGTGTTCAAATAGTAAGAGAAGGAGGAAGGGGAAAAAAAAGGCAAATGTAATCCACATGGAGAACACATTATAGTGGTGGTGGCAGTACAGTTCCTAGTGCATGGTTTGAACATGGCCAGAGTCCATGTCCCTCCTTCTATCTGTAGGTTGGCTGTGCACCCTTACATTAAGAGATACATTTGTAAAGTTAGGCTACAAGTTCTGTTTAAAGTCGCATCAAATTTAGTTCATAAATATTGCATGTGTTATCTAGGCTGTGGAAAGGTTACCATGATATTTTTCTTTTTCCAGGGACCACTAGAGTTAATAAGTGTGAAAAATCTGTGCAATATATTGGGAGTTCAGGCATGGCAGGGGCTGTGGTGCTTTATGTGCCTCTCTTAAGTAATTCAAATATTTTCCAGTTCGCAGGATGTGATGACCTTTCTGCGCTTGGGTTTTTCTGTTTTCGCGTTATCTTCTGCAGCTGCAAACGCCCCGTGGGGGGATCGATGAGAAGTGCCCTGCACGTGGCTCGAGGAGCGCTCTAACTGTGCTCATGTGTCCCTGACAAAAGGATGCCCGTCCCAGCTCTGAAGTGGCAGAGCACGAGCAGTCATGGGCAGTGATCCTAAGCACTCCTGTGGAGCAGGGGTCACTGAGCTGTGCATGCCAGCAATACGAACCTGGACGTCACCAAAGTAGTTCTCTGCCTTCAGAAAAACGTGTGCTTGGCATTCATTGGCACTCTTATGAGTGGTAAAAGAGCATCCAGAGCGCTTAAATTTTTATTTTGTTTGTTTTCTTAATAGTAGTTCCAGTTGCAACACAGGAAAAATGCAGCTACATATATAGGGCGAAGAATAACTTCAGGGGGCTGTGCAGCTGGAGCACCTCTAGGAGCTGTGGATCGGAGAACCAGCCTTCAATTCTGAGGAGTAGTTTCTATAATCTTTATTAAGATAGTTTTAAGAAAATCATATCTGTTCACAGTAGTCTAATAATGCACTACCATGGTTTATTTAAAAATAAAGTGTTAGGAGTTTTCTTTCCCAGAAGGGATTTGAGCAGCTCAGTTTGAAAACATGTTTACTCTGCCAGCTTTGCAAGCCAGTGACAGTTTTGTGGTTGTGAATATCTGCTTGCTAATCAACAAATGAAAAAAGAACAGAAAGCAGTTAATGCTGTAGGTCAAGCTATTCTGTTTGTTTAAAAATAATTAATTTTATGTGATTGAGACTGGACAAACTACCTTCACTTGAACTTGGTTTGCCCATGTAACTTGGTACAGTATTGCTTCTTAGTTGTGTGCTTGTAACTTCCTAAGTGTTGCAGAACAGGCAAAATGTGATAAAATGTGCTATTTGGTGGGATTTTAATAGGGAAAGGGTATGAGTGTGTGTGGGGGGTTCTTGTCTGATGGGCTTTGCAAGTCTCCTTTGTAAACTGCTTTTGAGCTCTGCTGCCTATAGATCAATAGTGATTTGAGTATCTATAGATTTCATTTTGTAGTTCAGACTAAAGTTTCTTATAAAGATTATAAAGCGTAAATTTTTGCCATACTTACTATGAAAAGGTAGAGCTGTTTTGTATAAAGCCTATAAAAATAAAGATGAATTTTATATAAGTTTTATTAAACAAGGAGGAAACTAGGTCCGTCAAACATGCATAAGTTTTTGTCACTTCTTTATTTCCCTTCGTTACCAAAGATGTAATTGTACACGCTGGAGCATTTCCTTTCTTTCTTTCTTCATTTCTTAAATACTTGGGGCTTACTACTTACCCAGTTGAAATTTCTTTTTGAAGGCTGCTCGAGCATGTGCCCTTATGCTCACAGTATGATGAGGCAGAAAGGGGCAGCATGATTGTTGATTCTGGAGTGAATGCCTCTCCTAATGCTTCTAATGTTCATGTTTGTGCTCTTTTTTGTGTTCAGGTCTGGTGTGAAGTTTTGACAATTTGAGATCAGCTATCAGAATCTGTTTTGCTGAATCTAGAAGTTGATTATTCATTTGTTTACCTTATCTTGCTAGCTAAGTAGTGCTTGGCTCTACATCAGAGACAAAATTGAAAACACTTGACTGTGCCAGGAGAAGTTTTCGTATCAACAGTGATAAAGACTTCAGAATAATTACGTTCATTGGTTATGTTATCCATTTGGCCCAGCAATCTTTTTTTCTGACTATACCTAGCAGCCAATATTTATGGGAAGAGGGTAAGGAGTAGGATGGGAGAGTAGGCATTGCAGTAACTAAAGCATGCTGTTCTGCTGCCAGTAAAAAAGAAAAGTTCCTGACTTGGTCGAGTTAATCATGTTTAATAGATCTTGGTAGCTCTTTGGGTTACGAGTCTGTCGAGTTACTTTTGTAACCCATCTATAATCTTGGCTTTCTTTTCTTTCCTCTTCAGATATGCTTCTTGGCTTTCTATTATTGGAATTATTGGAAGCATTTTTGCAAGGCATTTAGATTAATTTTATGGAGTTGTAGCCTTGTTTCTCTGGTCTTGAAAAATACATGTGGATAGGGAGAAATAGGGGAAAGAAGAGAGAACTTGCTGGGAAATAATATAGGATGGTAGGCTGGAGCAGTAAGAAGAGAGGGGTGAAGGATGTGGAACTCAGTAGAGTAAGGTGAGTAATACTGAGCAACAGGTCAGCGGGTGGCCTGTGCTGAGCATCTGTAGGCTTGTCATGCTCCAGCAAGTGCTGCCCAGGATTTCCAATTAATGAGGTGAGGTGGCTCCTCATTATTTTTGGAGAGCAGGCTGAAGACTAACTAATAGAAGGCAATGCAGGTGGTAGATAAAAATAACACAACAATGTGACCTGGGAGGAAGTAAATGACTTGGAATTCTTAGTTTCCTTTCCAGAGTAGCAAGTATAATTAACTTTTTAATTTTTTTTTCCACTCTTTCTTAAATTGAAATCTTAACCTTCCTAAACACAAAGCAGGTTACCTAAGAATACTTCTCTAAGAATCGCAACATAGAGTATTTCAGGATCAAAGAGGGAGGAGAAAACATTCAAGAAAAGTTTACTTGGGACAGTTGCTACTTGTCAGTGTATTAGAGCACTTGGTTAGGGATGCATGGTTCATTTTCTGTACAACTAAGATAAATGATGCCTGCTTCAATGCATCTGTAATTTCCCATTAACTTTTTTTTATTATGAAGTGAAAGAAGAAAATATGAGTTGATCTGCGCTCTTATACAGTGCTGATAGCATGAAATAAGCAGCAGAATCTCCTCCCATCATGTCTATTTTAAGCTCTTTTACCTTGTTCTTACTAATATAGTTCTAATTTGGAACAAATAACTACTTGTCAAAAATAGATCTACTTTGCTGTCTAGACTCTTTTCATTACTAAACTCAATTGGTGATTAAAAACAGGAAATTCAAGATTTTATTACAACCACACTGCTAAGCATTGCTGCTGTTGACTTTCCAATTTTGGATAGAGGGTCCTAAATGAAGTTTACACAACAAACAAACAAAAGAAAATCCTAGTTCTGAACATAGGTAATAGAAAAGGTAGAATATTTTTTCTCTAATATAGAAAAAGTAGACTATTTCCTTTTACATTCCTTTGTTCAACTTGGCTTCCTTCATATGTTCAACTTGACTTCCGTAGGTGCATATATCCAGGACACATAAAACTGTGTCAGTAGACATCAATCATGTCTACTGACCTGTGTTCGTCTTTCCCATCTTCTAGGAAAGAAACACAAAAAGCAGCCTCTTATCTGTGTACATCACTGCTCTGTGTAATCACATACCGTTATCTCCTGTGTACCTGTCCTTCCCCCTCACTTGCATCTCATTGCTTATTTACAGCCTCCTGTTTTAAATTAGACTTCAAGGGTTTTTTTGTTCTGTTTTGTTTTGTTGTAGTGAGAAATTGATTTGTTTCGCACAAACCTTGTGGAAGTCCTGTCAGATTTGGAGTTCCGATCAAGTACTGATCGTCTTGTCTTTCAAAGCCTCAAAGTTGGAGGGGGAAAAAAAAGTTTAAAACGGTTTATAGCGAAGCTGTTATCCTAAAAGCCACATTGCTGACCAGATGGAGTACTCTGAATATAAGCACAGTGTGATAGTGAATTAATTTAACAGAAATCCATATATCATACTTTGTCTTTGTAAAGAGACAGTCTGAGTAAAGCAGATGATGGTGTCCCAGGTACTTCTGTAGGAGCTTCTCTTCATTCAGCAGTCAAAGATAATGCTGACTTCACTGTTCATTTTCAGGTAGTCCACATACATTTACCAACTGTAACTGTATTGTACGAGAATGTTACTGTTTTCTTTGAAGGACAAGTACCACAGCATAAGAGCCTTCCTTTCAATAGGACCCTCCAGTTATGGATTTGCTGCTTTCCAGGATTTCAGGGGTTGTTTAGCCAATGCAAATCAGTTCAGTGCTGAGCTACACACTTCATAAGAGTGTAATCTTCCTACCAGTTTTATTTGGTACTGCCATACTTGTCTTCAGAAATGTACAGATCACTGATGCTTCTGTTCATTCTAAGCATTGCCTGATTTTTAAGGTAACTTCTGTTCTTTTGTGTCTCTTCATAGTCCGATACCTACCTCTGCATGTCAGTACCCCTCCTGGTGGACGATGAAGCCTATGTAGGTGAGTGTTGGTTGACTGGGTATGTCTAGTAAGCCATTAAACAGTGAAATAAAAAGTGCTTTGTTTAGTTATTTATTTTTGTCTATTATCAACTTAATCTTGGCTGCCAGAGTTTCTAAAATGCATTCATCATGGCTAATGCAGAAACAAACTAGAGAGAGCTACTTAGAGTCGAGATAACAAACTGTGTCTGGAGAGATTCATGAGCAGAAGCAGTTAAGGAGCTGCATGCAGATGCCTCTGGCAGGCAGTGCCAAGCAGCTCCATTTGTAATGTATTGGCTTTCTGTCTCGGGCCGGATGCCTAATTTCACTCTGCTGAGCAGACTGTTTATTTACCTGCTGTTTTGGGCTGTAAATCCTTCGCACTTGCAGGCAATAGTGAACGCAGTGAGATCGTACCTGTGTGTGTGTGAGTGGGGGGAACCAACCCAACCCAACCAGCTCCTCTTCCCTCTCTGTTTGCTAGGGTTGTGGCATGAATACGATGACAGGCAAATAACAGGGTCTACTGTAAGAGAGTGCCAGTGATTGGGGCATTTAGGTCTGGCAAGTGACACTGTCTGTTCCGAGTGTCTGCTGGGTGCTCTTAATTTCATATTGCCTTGCTTACCTATATCCAGTTGTGTAGGCAGAGAGAAGGCTTGTGAAGAGTTGGTTTTACTGAAGGTAGTTTCACTGTCGTAACATGTTCTATAGAATGAAATAAGAGAAAACATTGAAAAATAGAGAGTTCTCTTTCTCCTTTAACTTTTTTAGTAAATTTTACTCTATTGTCTCCACAAAAAAAAAAAAAAGACTGTGGAAATATTGTGTAGCTTTTATTGGAGTCTGTTATGAGACAATAGTTGCACGTGAGTATCCTTGAGTAAACTGATATTTTAACTAAAAGCAGCGGGGTTTTTTTGCATCTGTAGGATTACTAAGAAAAGGAAGAAAAAAAGGTAAAATTTATTCGAGGCTTTCTCTCAGATTTATTAAAAGAGTCAGTCCCTGACTGCAAAATTAAATTTTGGCCATGAGATTAACGCTGGGAGGAAAGATCAGAAAAATGTGAGAGATTGAGTGTTCAGTCTCTGGTCATCTATGGCTACAATGCAATGGTTGAAGCAGACTCTTCTGCCTTTTTTCTGACATGTAGTCACTGTTCTATTGATCCCTGTGCTTGAGTACATGTGGCACAAAATAATATGGGATCTGCATGAAGAAACTATTCCAATTGCCAGTTGAGGTTTTGGGGAGAGCAAGAACTTGATTAGCAAATAATTAAAAAAAACTGTTCTGTGAACATAGTTTTCCCATAACACCATTACCTAAATTTATATTTGTGTGTCCTAAAAGCAGAACAAATAAAATTGCCTGTGCTTTATTGGGGCTGTTTTCCAGGAAAACACACAAGTATGTGGTTAATATTTAGCATGTGATCAGCTCCATTGGACTTACGAGAAGTCACTGGCAAGTGATTCCAGTAGAAAATGATTTATCAGATCGGAGTCTCCCCAGTCAACAGAAATTGTGTAAAAAATTGTGCCTAGAAAGGCAAGGCACAGACATCTTCAATTTGGAGTACATAAAAATGCAAAATGACCTATCACAAAAATAGATGAATAGCAAATTAAAACTCAGGAAGGAGAGTATAGTAAGAGGTTTTTACAATAAGTATCATCTGAAAAATGGGATGCCTAATGGCATTTTTCCTTAACTGTTTCTTAATATCTTTAGGCAATATGGAACTAGTTATAGCTCGCTAGCATATATTTTGTGTTGCTTAAATAAGCATAAAAGATTGATATACACAGAATGAAATCGCTCTTTAGAAAATGGCAGCTTCTGTATTTTTGTGTCTGGTTGAAGCAGATTCTGCATTTGCTTGCATTGTGAAAAATGCAAGGAAAATTATACAATGTTATCTAAGTAAGTAAGGTCTGACAGAGGGGTCTTTAGCTTGGTTTTTGCTTGGGAAACTGCTGTGTGAGCGTTAGCTTTCATAGATTACTGTTTTATTTTATGATAGAAGCTTCTGAAAGTGCAGACAGGAGCTTCTGTAACTCTGGGCTGCTTTTCAGCCCTCTGTTGAGAAGACAATATAGGATCTAAAGAGCTTGCAGCATGAATGGGTAGGAATGCACAGGGTGCAAAGAGAGCAAGCGTGGGAAGGAGAAACACAGAGGGATGAATTACCTGAGGGCACGTGGCAGTTCAGTGGTAATGCTCATTTCTGTTATTTTTATCCTTTTCTCCTTTATTTCTCCCCTCTTGTTGCATGGTGATGAAATTTAAACACCTTGGAAGAGGGGACAATGCTCTAACACTGCAGGCGGCCAGTAGTGCCTTCATTAATAAGTAGAAAACATAGAATCATAGAATGCTTAAGGTTGGCAGGGATCTCTAGAGGTCTTCTAGTCCAACCCCCCGAAGGGGAAAAAATAAATAACAGAGCTAACTCTCTTTTTATGGAATTTCCATATGTGATTAGGAAATAATAATTAGCTTCCTTACTGAGCTGAGCTTTCATAACCAGCAGGCAGGCAGGCATGTGCAGGCTTGGGGCTGTGAACACTGACCAGGCTGAGGAGCAGTGCTTGTTTTGAGGGATTTTGGGGATAGATCATGCCATGGGTTTAACATGTAACTTCATGTTGGATACATGTCTCTTGCTCTTGTGAAATGCCTATGAAATCAGTGTGTAAAACATAGCTGTGAGTGAGATTAATATGTCCATTTTTAAAGAAGTAAGATTACAGCCATATTTAAAAATAAACCAAAGGTGTTTTTTTCTTCCACCTCCCCTTTGATTAGCATATATGGATAAATATAGCTAAAGCAGAAAATAGACTGAGTCTTTAATGGTGCAGGCTTTAATAAAAATCAGCTCATGACTACTGAGCAGGAGTGATGGCTAAAGGGTGTTCCTCAGATTCTCACAGGAACCGAGGCTGACAGGGAGCCACTCAGCCAAGAAATTTGACTGTCATCTTCATCTCCTTACTTTCCCTCACATGGCTGACCAGTAAATAAATGTGTCTTTTTCGTATTGACTGATGATAAGGCCCTATCTGTCAAATGGTGCTTTACAAATGAGAGGGAGCCTGTTATGCTCAGCAACACAGATGGTAGCAATTAGATGATTTATTGCTCTTCTCCCCTACAGGGCTGTGGGATGTTGTGGGCTTGTTACCCTAGTCTGACGTAGATAAACTTCCTTAATACCTCTGCACAACAGCTGCACTGAGTTGAGGGTCTTGCTAATCTGTCACCCTGAACACTGATGTGTTGACATCTTTCTTTAAGGGGAATTCATTGATTATCTAGAAGGAAGATTTTTGATTAAAAAATAAAAAGGTGTCAGTGTTATATGATAGGGTTGTTGCTTACAAAGATCAGCCTGTTAGAAATGAATTGGTTAGGTACGTAGTTTAAGTAACATTGTTAAGATGAGGTTGATGTCCTCTCCAGGCATTTCTGGTCTGCTCATTCCTGTTTCTTACGGAGTTCATGATGCAACGCAGCACTTCATTAGGCAAGGAAATCAAACCAGATTCAGTGTAGTATATGCTAAAACTGTTACTTTTCTATTGTTTCAGCAATCACTTTTGTGCCAGTTTAGATAATACTTTTTTTGAATGACTTTATTTCACCTCTCCATCCCATTCAGAAAGACTGATATAAACTTGGGAGCCTTGTCAAGAAAATTGCTCTGTGAGAAAATAACTCACTTGGCAGAGCACACTCAGGCTCAGGCAGACTGAGAAGTTTTTAGGGCTCTTCTCCCAGTGGGAATGATCAGATATATGAGCTAAAGCAGGTGTAGAGTTCATTCAGAAAACTAATATTGCTTTAAATGTGGTGCATTATTCCCCTTGCCATTACTATTAGTATTTTATAAGTTCTGCAGTGCTGTTTAAAGGTCGCATAGACCAGAATGTCATTGGAGCAGGCGCCATGTGGGGATGGAACAAAAAAGCCTTCGTGTCTCACACGTCCAAGCAAGTCCCAAAGGGGACAGGATGGCAGAGGAGCGGAAAGAAGCAATGAGATGTCACTGAGCGGCGTGGCAGGCGGTGGCTTCAGCGGTCAGGGCCATAACCTTTAGTGAAGCTGTTCTTCAAGGTTGTCCCTTCAGGTGCCACTTTGTACAGGTGTCAGGTTCTGGAATAAAGAGCGTCCTATTTCACATTTATGAACTGCTGAGAAACTCCTTCAGAAACTCACTTAAATCAGGAGCCTCTAAATGGAGCTAGAAAGTCCACACACAATCACATACCGTCTATCCCACACAAAAATTAGTCATAGTTTTGCTATTAAATATTAACGATAAAAATGTCGAAGCAAAAGGTCTTGCTTTAACGCAAGTTTGTTTAATGGCTGTGGAATGAGTAGAATTTCCTAGTGGAGGGGACAGAAATTATGCAGTCTTTAGACTTCAATCCTGCTGGCAAGTTTAGCAGTTCTGAAGTCATTTTTAAGAACACGCAGTGTGCAAAATAACTCCATGCCAGCCCTTTTTCTGGAGCATCTCTGCTGTGCTCTGGGGTCCTGGGCAAGGTGGGTGGCTTTCATCTCCCAGCTCCACTTAACAACCTTAGCCTGGGTGAGGAATGAAGGAGAATTCCTTTCCTTCCCTGTATGGGGTGTATTTCAGTATGAATAAAGAGAGTTCAAGTATAGCTTGTTTCATTTCTAGAAACACCCTCCTGAGCATCTACAGTCCTATCCTGAGCAGGAACACTAACATTGGAGACACCAGCAGAACTGATGTTTTTGTGGAATTGTACAAAGAACAGAGATGTTTGGATACTGAACACTGACCTTCATCTATATTGCTAATAAGAAAGAATATTTGGTCAACATGATTGTATTTAAATTAATATTGGTTTCTATTCCAAAGGAGCTTACATGGGAGTGAGAATACATTATATTATTTTTCATGGAACTTTTGTTCTAAGAAAGATATAGCAAAATTTTTGCTAGAAGAAAACATTACTGCAACCAATGCACAGCCCTTAACTCTAATTTACTGTTCATTTGGTATTTTGGTGGAAACAAGAAATTTAAAAAGGAGTAAAAAAGCACTATTAAATCACAAGTGCGAATTTTGAAGTTAAAAGACTGGGTATGCTAAAATTTGCTAGTTTGTACAGAGATGTGTACTAAGTGTCATATTTTACATGGGAGAAAGATATAACAGCTTTATGTGGAAACTTAGTTTTTTTGTTTGTTTTTAATTACTAAATGAGGTATGATGCCTTAGCTTGGAAGAAAGGCTGTTGAAGGGAATTGTAGCATAAGTTTGTAAAGTCGTAAGTGTAATGCAGAAGGTAAGAAGAAAGTGCCTGGGGATGCACACTCCTTGTGTGGAGTATTACAGACCCTTTTTTATAATTTTGTCTTTCAGTTGACTTTAAACCCCATGCCAGCATGGACACTGTCCACCACATGTTACTCTTTGGATGTAGTGAACCCTCTTCTACTGAAAATTACTGGTAAGATTTGTAGGCTTGCATTTATAATTGTATCTTTTCCTGTATTGTTTGCCTCCAAATAAACCTTCTCAAGTATCACTTTTCTTTTTTTTTTTTCTTAAGTGGAAAAAAATGCGAAGGAAGAAGAGATGTGTGAGAGTCTAGTCTGCCCACGCTTCTGTTTTGATAATTTTTCTCAAAGATTTAAGAACTGTAGCTAAAAATGTCAGCAATATGTCTTAAATATCGTGGTTGGAGTAACTTGGATGGTCTTTCTCAGCACAGCGGTCAGCACACTTTTCCCAGATTATGTCCACAGAGCATGTCTATACTCTGTGTTCTGTAGTGGATTAACGGGGAACTCAGGAATGAAGTAGGTTTCCTAAAGTGGAGGGATGGGGCAGGGAGGGGAAATAAAATGATCATCTTCAGAAGAGAAGACCAGAGAAAATCCATTTTTGAAGGTATGTTGGTGTATGCAAATGTCAGATTTTTAGAGCTGTGATGTATTTGACTGTCACTTTGCAGCACGATTTATTTATTTTTAGCTGTGAGCCCCCTGTAAGGAAGGGAAGCTGTTTGTTTTCTACATTTTGATGGCTAACTGACTGTCTTGAAGGTGTAAATATGCACATCCCTGCTACAATAATCCAAAATGGAGACGGCCCAAATATTTGACAGGGCCTAGAACTTGGGGCGCTTGACAGTGCCTTTTTTGCAAACCTGATGAATACTGTTTCTAGTTCAAAGCACTGAAATTGCGAGAATTGTTGTGGCTTGGCACCACTGAGTACTGAGAAATCTAGACTTCCAATTCATATCAAGAAGCCCAAATGTTCTACTTTTTCAAAAGTGAATGATGAGAAGCTGTCTCTACAGCTGAGGAAATTAAGCTATCCATGAGAGTGGAAAAACGGGATGTATCTTCTCCCCCCCAAAATTACCGTGATGCTCGCTTGACAGTGAGCATAAACATATTAAGCTTTGTGTTTGTTTATTCTAAGTCAAGTTGCTAATGCAGCTGTAGCTCCTCTAATTGGAAAAATATTGATATATATATATATATAGCCATATATATACTATATATATATGGAAAAACTGCTGTGCTGAGTGAGGGATAAAAATACTTAACTTCTGAAAGAAGAGAAACTTTGAAAGGAAAAGAGATATTCGTATTTGAAAAATTATTAGACCACATCAGCATTTTTTTTGTCTATTGACAGATAAAGTAGTTATAGTATCTAGATGAAATTACATGAAATAGGTATTAAATAATCTGAGTCCAGGTAGTACTATTTCATTATTTTAAAAAAGTTTATAACAAATGTTTGTGGGTTTTTTTTGTTGTGGTATATATGTATTTTATTTATTTATTTATTTATTTATGGTGGGAAGACTTTATCTCTTCCCCTGAGTCAGGCTTGGGAAGTCTTGTTTTATAGAAAAGACTTTATAGCCTGGGAAAAGGTATAAAGACTGTTGTACGATTCCTAGGGAGTGGATGTGATTCAGTTCTTGAAGTTAATCTTCTACTGAGGACAACCTGTGTCTTGCAGACAATGGCTAAGAAAATTCAAGAGCCATTTCATAATCCAAATTCTAGGGAGTTCTGGGAAATCCAAATTACATCATTGTTTGCACATGGATGTGAAAGGAAACCTGGAGAAAGGCAGGGATAAAACACTGTCAAGTAGTTGACTTAAAAACAAACAAACAGGTTTTATTGGATGTGTTTTTTTTCTGACTTTTATATTTATCCTTCAGATAGTTTGGGTTGGCAGTCTCAGTGACCAATCCACCGCATTTCTTGACGCTTTAGAAGTCATGTGTTTGGCTGTAATCCCATTCCGCTTTGTATTTCTCCTCGGTCATTTTTTTTGTGCAAGAGGTCCTGTATGTTCCTCATTTTTTTCTCATTTTGATTATCCCTCAGTTTATTAGAGGGTGTTTGCTAATGCTTACATTAGACCAGAGGCCTAATTCCTTCCTCTATAGCCCTTCTGTGTGTATGGAGAAGACTTCTCTTGGTGTCATGGAAAATGAAGTAAAAGTAAACTAAAGGAAGTTGTCCATAGCAGATGGTTTGGTAGATATCTTGCTTTTCAAGATGCTAAAGCTGTAAGGGAAGCTTCCCGTACCACTGAACCAGATGTGACGATCCAGAGTGCTGAGAAGCTGAAGATGGCACTAGCTGGGGAAGCTGCTGGTATTTAAGCAGTGTTGGGGAGCAGCGAGCCTATTAGGAAGCTTTGCTGGCAGTGTAAAAAGCTTCAGTAACCGAGTTTGATCTGTGGAACAATTTTAATACAGATTTTCTTGTGCAGCTTGGTAATCTGAATTTATCTTTTAAATATTTACCAATAAGATAACTGGAAATAGCATTTAGAGGCAATGGACTAGTATAATGTATTTTTCACAGAAAAAAAAAGTATGAATCTAGCACTTACAATCATCTCTGTAGGCTTTTGGGAAATGATTTGGTCAGTATTTAAACATATGACAAACTTTCATCGGAAGTTTTATTTCCCTTGTACTTACCAGTGTGAATATTTATAATGAATGCTGTGATCTTGTCCAGCAAGAAAAGCAGATGAAAATGAAACAATGAAAGCCCAGAATTGCTGTTGATTTCTCTTTCCAGCAGTCTGCTTTTTCTTCTTTCCAATGTCTTCTGCTATTCTTCAGAGTGTACTTTCTTCAATAGTTTAAACTTAGGCGAAAAATATACCAACCTAAAAACCATTGCAGTGAAACACACTGCATGTGTTTCAAATTAGATCATACCTTGAATGACTTTCTTAAAATCCAGTAGAGAGTAGATTTTATTTCAAACGTGTTTTGCCTTCATTTGTTTGGGAATAGTGTTGTTAGTGCAAACTGTTCAATGCCGGAGATAATTGTTCTTTTGTAGATTGATCAGGTACTCAAAAGAGAAATTTGGCACTACTCAAATGTATTTTGTCTAAGGCTCAGTCTTGTACGGAAAAGGAAATATCCATTAACCATTCCTCAAACATCTTGATTGATGGGAGACTCTGCAGCATTGAGAGGAAGAACAACAAGCTGCTTTTAAGGTGCCAGGTTAACAGCCTGGCAGGTATCTGGGGGTGCTTGCTGGCCTAGTGATGGCAACCTGAGCAACCAACGTGTCAGCAGAGCTGTCATCTCAGTGCCTCTGAAGGCCAAGCTTAAAACTAGACCCTCAGATTGACCCAAGCTGGATCAGGCTTGAATTCTAGGCTGGACTTGGATTCAAGTAACTTCATCTCACAGGCTACGTGGTCATTTTTTGTAGGTGAGAACAATAGGAAACTTGCCAGCAACACTGCGTGCAGTGTGGGAGCTAATGGAGCTTTTGTTCATGACAGTGGCCTGCCTGTCTGATGGAGAGACTAATTCTCTTAATTAATGTCAGGTTTAAATCTGATCTTTGTGATTTGCTTTATGTGCCAGTTTCAATTAAATCTTTTTTTCTGTAAGCATTTTCAGAATATGAATGCTTCACCCAGGGCCTCACCATTTCACATCTCCTTTACTGCAACAGATTGCAGCAGTTCATCTTGCCTTGCCGGTAGCCATCTGTAAGGCTGGAAGGATCATCACATCTGGTGTATATAAAAGCAGGCTTTTCAGATTTCCTGAATGTATGCCTGCTTGACTCACGTGCACACACACATATTCAGGCATGCTTATGTAAATGTCTTAAGTTTTTGTTGTTGTTGTTTGTTTGTGTGTATATGTAGTTAATATTGTGTGTGTGTGTGTGGGTACACTTAGACTTTCAGATGTGGAGCATCTGTTGCACATTTAAGGTAGTTCAGAGAGTAACTGTAATCACCTTTAAAAGCAAATGTTTTCTTGCTAGCTTAAATGTACTAGCTTTAGTTTCCAGCTGTTGTAAACAGTTTTGTTATTCTTTTAACTGTGCATTGCTAGGGATATTTTTTGATCTCTCTTTTTCAAGTTTTGGTTAGAATCAGTGAAGAAGAGTGTAATAGAGAATTTTTTAAAAAAAGTTATGCAGATATATTTGATTTAAAACACTGGTGTTTTTTTCTCATAGAAACTTTGTATATGTTTTTTCCCTTGATCTCTCCTATTCATATATGAATTTTAAAATGTAATTGCCACAACTAAGGTCATTCAAATGTCATGATAGGTTTATTAATCTTATCTGGAGTAGGCTATGAGGAGGCAGAAGGGGAGGTGCTGCAAGATGGACTCAACAAGACTTTGGAGGTGGCACCACTTGAATTGGAAAAATTAAGCCCCTCTTCTTCCAGTAGCATAAAAAGTGCCATTTCTGGCTGTCATTTCTCTCTGAAAACTGGGATGTCTGAGTAGTTTGAGCACAAGCAGCAGTTTCAGTGTGCTACATTAGCATGGACTTGTATTTCCTAAACTTCAAGATCTTAATTACGTACTTGCAACCCTAACAATACTTGCAGCCCTAACTTGCAGCCCCGCAGTATCTCAGGGATGTGATGGAACATTTTGCCTTTGGCCTAGGTAATGAGTCAGAACCACAATGTCATAAAAACGCAGCTCCTCGGCCTATGGAGCACTGGGGAGAATGACAGTGTTGCCTCCAGGGGAGCTGAAAAGAGCTCATAGGGAAGCAGAATAGAGGAGCTGGGAGGAACAGCCAGTGAGCACTTTTACCTCAACTCCCATAATGAAAAATTGGTTATAGATATTACAAAACAAAACAATAAAAATTATAATTATTAGTTGTTACACTTAGGTTTCAATTATGTTGTCTACCAATTATGTTGTGTACACTTAGTCTTTTAAATATGTGTTGAAAGTCAGCACTGACGCCCAAATAAAAGAGTGTTTTTTTTTTTTTTTTTTTTTTTAAGTCATTCACCTAGCATTTGAAGCTTTCAAAATGGAGAGAAATAATCATATTCCGTTTTGTTTTCCTTCCTCCTGTTTTTAGGGACTGTGATGAAGGAACATGCAAAGACAAATCTAACATTTTGTATGCTTGGGCAAGAAATGCTCCACCCACGCGGTTGCCCAAAGGTATGGTGCCTTTTATGTGAAGTTCTTGAATTTGGGGGCGAGGGAGAGAAGAAGACATGGAAATAATCACCTGACATCTCTAGGAATCCCCTGTAGTATTTTATTATCTCTTAGTTGATGCTGGGTAAACTGTAACACCATAAACTGTGATAACATTATGCTGTATAATATATTTGGGAGGGGTCTTTTTGGCATGCTCTTTGCTGTAGCAGTATGGGCTTCAGTAGAGGGGGAAAAAAAGACTCAAGGAGAGTATAGTATATGTAACGTTAATCTTGGATTTTGTGCAGTGTATTACTAAAAGTGCTCTATTTACACATCGTTCAGTAGCACAGTTTATAGCCTCCCTCTGAAACTGTTAACATATTTTCTTATGTTCAGGAAAGCACCTAAAAAAATTTCATCTAAGCATTCGTATTTTTCCATGGTCTTAATATATTGGGTAATTTTACATATGTTCCATTTCATAACGTTTTGATGCAGTTGGACTGCATGTTCATGTTTTTATATAAGTGAATGTTTTGGCTGCATGCGGTCAAAATTTCCTAGGCTAGTAAGAATGGCACTTCTGAAAGATGTTGAGAAGTGGTTCTTTCTAATAATCTCCCAAGACTGCTGTGAATATTTCCCCTCTATAAAGCCACTGTTTGAAAATACCTTGAGTTTGAGGGTTTTTTTTTTTGCTTGCATTTTTACTACCTGTTTTCATAACCCAAAGCAGTGCACTGTGCATTTATACATTTATCAGAAACAATGTTATTTGGTTTGGTTATCAGCATGTAATATGAAAAGAAAAAAAAATTGTTGCTTCGACTCTGTGGAGGCTTGGCCTTTACTCTGGTTTTAAATTCCAGTGAGTGGTAATTTTCTTGTGTCCAAGATGCCCATAGCGGGTTATTTTATAACACTATTACCTCTTCAGTCACCTTTGCAGGTGGGTTTTGCCATTGGAAGTTTTTAATCCAGGCAGATTCACTGTCTGAATAAGCAGAAATTGATTTTTTTTTCTGGTTCTTTCCATGTATATAGAATCAGTATTAAAAGTGCCTTTATGTGATGCAATTTGTGTTCATTATTTCAAGTTCTTTCTCTGTCCATACTGTTACTGCTGCTTAAAATACCTGACTTAGCTTCATAACTTCCACAGGTTTTTTTTCCGGACTAAAATATTTTGGAATGGAAGTGAATTGTGTAGTGTAGTTTTTATTTTTTTCATTCTCAGTCTGTTCTTAGGTTAGTTTTAATACTATTTCTTCCACAGAGTCTAGTAATATTAAAATTGAAAATTTTGCCAAAACTGAGAGAGGCGGCCAAACCTTTCTTTTATTATTCACTTATTTATTTTCCTTCCCCTTGATAGTTGGGCCAAATCTGTATTTCTGACTTCAGCTCTTGGAATGGGAGGCTTCTTTGCTTAAAGCAGGAATTTATTCAGTAATAATAGCTTAGAGACCTACCTCCTTAGTCTGTTTGGGAGTGTATTCTGGTGGTTTTCTCTAGCTTTCAGGGTAGCATTTGCCTCCGTGATGTTTCAGGAACACTTTCTATCTCTTCACTATAAGCCACTTCAGTATTTTGTATTTTTAGATACTGTCAGCAGTGCCAAACCAGTTTACCTTTTGTTATTTCTGAAATCTTAATGAGTTTTCCTTCTCTTAAGGTGTTGGATTCAGAGTTGGAGGAGAAACGGGGAGCAAATACTTCGTGCTCCAGGTACACTATGGTGATATCAGTGCATTCAGAGGTATGTGTTTTGAAGCTTCATTCTGTAAGTTATGTCAGGTACAGAAATTCAGAGCATCAAAAAAAAGTTCATTATCTGAAGAAATAAATTTTGTTGGCAAAAATAAAGATCACTATGTTTACTTGCAGTAAAGTTGATATATTGGCTTGAGATTTTTGTAACCTTGCTTTATCTTTAAATGTTTGAAGGTGAACAAGGATTTCTTTATTTTTTTTTTCCTCAAAAAAATCTATGGTGGATGACTTGACCTAACAAAGAGACATGTTATTAATCTTAAGATGAGGATGGCACCTCTTTTTTTTTCTGTAGAATATTGTGTTTTATTTAAAGTTGAGTGAAAAAAAATATACGCATAAACACCCTAATCCCTCTTACTTGAATACTTGGTGAGAAAGATAAGATATATCTGCCAGTCAATTACAATTTCTGTATTTGGAGTGGTAAAAATTGTAACCATTGGAGATGGTATCTTTTGTTATCTTAAAACAAGATGAAATGTATTCCTTTCAGGCATGGAAATATGTCCATTGCTGTTGATGAGTGTTTGGATTTCATTAATGCAGATATGTTGCTAATCTAATGAAGGACTGCTTTGGACAAGTTTAATTACCATTTTTCTGATTTATATTTCATGTTGTAATCTTTAAACTTTAAACCAAATTAAGGTACAAGGATTAATTTGCCTTATTCTGACACCTTTAAAATGCATGATTTTTTAAATTTTTTGCTCTTGTGAATCTCTTGCCATGCTTGACGGCCCGTGTTGCATTGAAAAGGAGAGATCTTGCATCATCAGTCTTACTAAGCTCTGCTATAATACACTAGTGCATAGAGTTGAAACAGGAACGTGGACATCCTCATGGACTTGAATAATAAATGAAAATGTTGGACTTAAAAGAAGAAAAAAGGAAAAGTAAAATCATTAGCAATAGTAAGAATTTTAGTGTTTTTTTTTTCCTCAAAATGTGCATAGCAAGAAACAAGCATTAACTGTAGTAGTATTTGAAAAGTATTAGGGAAAAATACCTTGTCAGTGCTGATGGAAGTGAGTTCACAAAGTGGAAGTGAAAAGTGCAGGGCACACACTGAGAGCATCCACGAGTAATTCCACAGTAAAATCTGTGCTGTGGTAAAAGATGGACAGATTGTACTGAGTTCTCAATACCCACATATCCTTGGGCCACAGCACTTATTTTCTTGTGCGCTTCTTGCAAGTTTGGGCAAAATTTTCCTAGCTTTTTGGCAGCTGTGTCCTACTATCTTTACTGGTATAGTTTTGCTTAAAGGTGAAGGTAAGGTTTGTTTTGAAATATAGTATATCCTGACTGGAACTGTGTAAGTGGCAGTGGTGCCTGTGCATAGCTGGAGACAGATCGGAGCACTAATACAGCCGTGAGATGTTTCACCTGCCTACAGTAACTTATAATTAAAGTTGCTGATGTCTAATGAGAAAACATTAGGCAAGAGCCTGCTCTTCGTTATTGCTTGGGGACAGTGAGATAATCTTTGCTCTTAAGTACAATTTGTGTGCCTACAGTTACAAAAAATAGAGGTATCAAATAACTTCTGTTGCTTATTAGTTGAGGAAGTGTTAGGGAAATCTTTGTACATTAATTTGATATTCAAATCTCCTATTTTAAAACAAACAGAAAACCCCAAACCCTCAACCCAAACTTCTTCACATAAGAGAAGCTGTATTTAATAAACTAAAAAAAAAATTAAAAAATTTATAGCATTGCCCTCTCAGCAGACTTTCTTTTAGGCTTTCTTTTAGACTTTAGGGAAAAAAGAAAAAAAGAGAATGAAGGGAGTTTAGAGAAGTGTGTGCACTGATAAGAAGGCTGTAATTTTGGAGAAAAGAATCTGACAGATGCCCTCTGTTTTTATTTTGGCACCTCTTTAAGTTGGCAATCATATCTTTTATTCTTAAAGTGAAAAAAAAACCTATTTTATCTTCTTTATCATTTTTGTGAGAATAATATGTTTTAACTCTTTTCTGGCTGTGAAAAACAGTTTGAGTGGGTAAAAATATAATTTAAATCTCTAGAACTTTAAGTGGTGTATTCAAAGCTATTTAACGCAGAACCTTAGAGATGCTTTTAAACTTGAGGATGATCTAAAAGATTCTTTCTTTGTCTCTGCTGAGATGTCAGCTGATAACTGGGACTTTTCAGAATGCAAGTATTTAATTGTTGTGCTTCATGTGCAAGTACATATAGTTGTCGCAATTTAGAGCAGCGGACAAGTGATGAAAAACAGTAAGCTTGCAGCAGGACATCAAGGATTGGGAAGCAGTGTTTCCAGAGCTGAATTTTCTGGCTTTAAAGTCATTGCAAATCCAAAATATTTGGCTTGAAGTAAGAATCATTAGCATCCAATTCTACTTCCTATCAATTTGGGAAAAAAAAGGAAAAAATTCTTAACTCATTTTCAATAGTTTGTAAGAAGGATATTTCATCATTTCATTAACCAATTATTAAACTAGTTATGGTTGCCTTTCCTTCCTTCCTTAGCCAGTTTTAAGTGTTTTCACACTTAAATATGCATGTGGTACTCAAATATCAAAATGGAGTATAGTATGTCCTTGTCCTGTCTAAAATGCACATATTGAAAAATCAACTAGAAAACCAGAAATGAATTCACCAAAGAATATGTTTAGATATGCTTAAAGAACCATTTTAGGAAGGCAATAATTGCTCTATTTGGCTTTTTCTTATTTTTAATACTACTAGAGCAAAAATGATGTGGCGTTGGACTTACGTACAGGTACAATAGCAAGTACAATTATGTTATGAGCAAAAAGTAAGTCAGAAGACTGTCTCCTTTTTTATATACTCGCAGGTATTTCAAGGTTCCAATTCAATTTAAAGAAAATTCAGGCATTTTAAGACCTATAACCGCACACAAACAAGTTCAAGTCTGGCCTGTAGGGACATGGAGTGCAGTTGTCATCTGATTCGTGGTTTGTCCTTCTATACAAATGGCTTGAGATTTGATTTTATAAAATACATCTTCTTTAAATCTCTAGAGGTTCTTTCTTCCCTCATCCTCCTTACAGTAGATTAATGATGTTCCTACCCTGCCATACCAACATCTTAATCCTTTTTGAAGGACTGAAGTAATTAAATGCAGTCAGAAGCTAGGTAAAATGAACATGTCTGTGGCGATGTCTTTACTTTTTCTGGAAGAAAAGTATTCAAATATGGTCATTTTGTATGTGCTTAATGGGCACTCTGCTCAAAGCAGCAGCAGCCTTCGGGGGCCTCGCTATCTGCTCATCTTGGGCTATTGTTTGCTTTTCCTCTAACCCATACATTTCTTTGCTGAAAATAAATTTCTTTTTTCCTGCTGTCATTCCCCACAGGTTTTGTGTTACCAACACTATCTGAAAATCAGCTATACTTGGGTTTTCTTTTTTTTCCCCACTGAGTGTAATTTAGGCTACCCACCTGGGAGTTGTCTCTTATTCATAAAACTGTGAATTGTAAGCTGGCATTTGAGTATCAGTATTATTGGAACCCTGAGTACAGGGGGTTCTCTGGTAGCAAGAAGGCTTGATATTAATGGGCCTTGAATTAATTCAGTCTGCATACTGGCCATTTTAGATATTCATGTCTGCAGTATTATCCACAAATCGGGCATCTTTTGCAGGTGATTTGCGGAGTATTTATTTATTTAAATATTAAAAAAAATAATACATGACCAGAATCAGCATTAGTTTTCCTTTTTTTCTTCTTGGTTGGGTGATTGTAAAAATGACAGTGGGGAATCAGTGCTTACATTTTGTTTCCCAAAATCACTGTTCAAAAGAGGGAGACATTTTTGACCTTCCAAAATTAACCCAAGATGGAATAAAGAAGTATTTTTGCTCTCTGCTACTAGATTCCTAAAAGGACATTGCCAAAAGGGTGTTGGATGAGTGAGCAGGTGAGCAATAGCCAATGCCTGAACTTGCGTGAGAGAAGGAATTCAGCTGCGTTGTTTTGCTATTGCATACTAGGTGTCAGAATCAAATGTAGAGTATTGAATTTGGCTCTTTCTTTAAAAGGATTAGGCTCATTTTTGTACTCAATTTCTTTGTCTTTTGACTGTAACTTGGAGAAGATTAATTCCTAGCAGGCATTAGCATAGGAATTCCCTTGCTCAGATGGAGCCCATGCTCTGAATCTGAGGCTGCTGCACGTGGTTAATGAAGCCAAGGCATTTTGAGACCATACGTAGAGATTGTGGAACAAATCAGAAAGTTAACTTCTGAAAAAGAAGGGGTTTGGAGCTTTAGAAGAGGCAGCATTCTGCTGTGATGAAAGCTTGCAAGCAGTCCAATAGCCATTTTTTTAACTCTGTAATGCTATATAAGCCTGTTAAATACTAGAATTTAAAGCAAAGAATAAATGGTGATATAATGCATAATATTATATAATGAATATGAATAATGTTTCATTATGTTTCAACTGAATGTAAAGTTTTAGTCACGTGCTCTCATGAGTAATCCATGTTCCCTGAGTGTCAGGAAAATAGGTGTCTCAGGGCTTTATTTTTCTAATTCTAAATTAAAAACCACAGGATTTTCTTCGATATCTAGGTAAACATGATAGCAAGTGAAATGTGAAAAATACAAGTCCCCAGCCTGTTGTGAATTTTTGAAGGATTCGGACGTGAAAGCACTCGCGGTAGCCGAGGGTGAGCTGCTGCGTCCCGAGCTCCGGCCCATCCCTTGGGAAGCCTCAGAGCTGCCCCCTGCACGGCAGCAAGTTCTGTGTCTGCTGGGCAGCCCTGGGAGCCCTGGCTTTGGTGGCAGGTTATGTCCCAGGTCACTCGCGCGTTTAGGGTTGGACACCTGGGTAGACAGACTGGGCAAAGTGGCACTGGAAGCCACGTCCAAGTCGGCATGTAGAAAGAGATCTCTGTTTGGGATCATTTAGCTTCTAGGTTTGATTTAATAGCCTGTGATTAGTGCCAGTATTTGGGCTGTTTCTACTAGAAAACTTTATAACAAGAGTTAATACAAATGATTGTCTGTTTTGATTTTTTACTGATCTGTGTTTTGGCTCTTGAGCGTCGAATTGCTGTTATAAAGCTGTCATGTATGAATTTTAAAACAAAAGATATATTTAAAACACTGGAAGCCACTGTCAGGCATTAACTTGCGCCATTAATTTTGTTCGACATTAGTAAATAAGGGCAGAAAGGATTTTCGTATGACTTTGCTCTATGCATGCAGCCTATAAAAAGCAGTGGTAAGCGCTGCTGCTCGTTCGATTTCTGATGGAAATTCTTCATGGAGAATTAGCTTTGAGATAAACGTGTCTGAGTTGCATAAATGCATTTTTTATGTGTCTTGTGCAATCTATTCCTCCGTTACATTAGACTTGAAAATAAGCATTGCAAGTCGGGTTCCTAGGCCAGAAGCTGCCCGTATTGTTGCAGGTACTAACTAATATGATTGGCCCCTGTAGGAGCAGGATCTCCCACTGATACTCTTCAGTTCGTTTGGATGTCGCTCCATTTGGACCCCCATAAAAGTCTGAAAACACTTGAAAACAGACAAACAGCAATATGTTTGAGTCTCCTCCCTGCCTCCCCTCCCCACCTCTTTTTTTTTTTTTTTTAAAGGGACATGATAATATAATAATATCATATAATTTTCAAAAGTGACTCATGTTTGTAGGGCATCAGACTTTATTGCTTTTGGGGTGTTTTTCAGTGCTATTTAGAAGTCAGTGGTATTTCTAATTGTAATTCCCAACCTGAGTGAGAGACGCAATTGCAAATTTGCTTTTTAAATTGTAAGTTAAGTAATAAATTAAGTAAAATGTTCTCAAAAGAAGCAAATGTTTCCCAACTTCCATTAAAATTGAAGAAAAATCTCCAACAATGTCGAACTTGTTCTTAAAGCCAGCTTCCGCAATCATCTGTGCAGAAAAAAGCTTAGTAACCAAGACCTTGTATCTCAAAAATAGCTACTATAAGGGAAGTATCCTGCTAGAGGGTGGAGGATTTTATCTTTAGTATGAACTTTCTTTCTAAGGTGATGGAAAGTTCATTTTTCCTTTCACAAATGTTTTCCTGTGTTTTTTCTACTTTTTGTCTAAGGCCTTGGTCTTTCTGGTGCTTTTTGATCCGTGACTTGGCCCTTTGGAAGGAGCATTTGTTACTTGTGACTGATAATTAGTGCTTATTCTGGTTTGGGATAACTTTGTTTTATCTTTTTCATGTGGATTGTCTGACCACATCTTGATTTCTTTTGTCATTTTTTCCCCACCCTTTTGTGCTCTACCTCATTTTGTTATTTGGTCTTACCTTTCTCTCCAACTTCTTCCTCTACCTTCTTAGCCCCCCTCTTTCCTATCTCAAATAGAACAGAGAAAGCAAATCATGGAAACTTTTGCACGGAAAACTTTTTTAAAAGAGGTCATAAAATGAAGTTCAAGTTAATAAAAAAAAAATTAATTATTGAGGAAATGATTGATACATTGGAGAAATCCAGCTTCAGTGATTAATGTGTCTCTATTTCTTGCTCCATACTACATAAAACCATTTCTCACCTGGTGTCTTTTTCTATAGCTGTTGAGGAACAGCCCACTGATTGGGATGAGTCTCATGAAGAGTGTAATTCGGGCTTGCCATGCACTGAAGTGTATTTATGGAAGGATATAGTTTTATTGTCATTTTTGAAAAAGGCATTTGAAGACGATATTTTTCAATTTGGAGAATTACAAATACTCCAATTTGTAACAATGTTTAGATTGATTAATTATTCTGTGTCTAGTTCAGACATGTTAGTATACTCCCCAAAAATGTACTATTTTACAGAAAGTGTCTGTCACTTGGCTATTTTGTAGAGCAGACACAGGGTGGGAAATAGGGCAACAATAATTAGCTACCTTGAGTGTTATTTATTTATTTGGCATGCATGGTCTTAAAATACTCTTGTTTTCATTGTGATTGAACTCTGTGTTTGTTAATACATTGCCACCTCGTATTTAATCCATTCTGCAGAATACATGTATCAAATTCTCTGTATTTGAGCTGATGTTACATGGAGCTGAAAATATGCAGTCAGATGCTCTGTCTGCATGGCATTGATACACCTTTCTTTCCACACTGTCACTTGAATTTTCATCTGCTTTCCTTCTGCATCATCACCCTGGGTTTCAAAAATGGGCATTAGACATGCTTTCCAAACATCCAGTGCGATGACGGCACGCGCGTAGTCACGATCACAAGATGAGAAGCTACCTTCAGATTTTTCTTCTATACGTACAGTGTAGGGTCTCCTTTGTTTGCTGCTCTTTGCTGGTACAGCTGCTGTGTTTTAGTGAATCAAATTGTTGAATTTGGAAGTGTCCCTCAGTGTATCTCAGAGCTGGAGATACGTAGCAGTTCTGAGCTGCCGTAGTGATGAGCGCTATGAGAACCTAGCCACAGTGGTTTAAAAACGCCTTCACTCAGCAAATTTATACCTGTAAAAATGTAAATATAGCGACAGATGTAAAATATGTAAAAGTAGTGACAGGATTGTTATTTTTTTACTAATGTCTACTTTATGAAAATACTTGAATATAACATCTAATACCAATTTGGTAAAAGACAAACCAAAGATTATCAGTTGTTAATACAATATTTTATGATCAAAATGTCTATCTTTAAATAAAACAAACAAACAAACAAAACCCCTGATATCTCTTAAGAATCATGATTTAGTCCCACTTTAGCCATAATCCTTCCTTGTTCAAACACAGCATTTGTTTCAGGTCTGAATCTAGGTACCGATGGGAGGAAAATCTCTCTCGAGGTAGCACTTGTCGACTGGAGTAGCGCTGTTTTCCTTCTTACCTCAAGCTAATGTGATTAAAGGATATATAATTCTTTCTTTCCACTTGTTCTGTTTGCTTACTTTAGAGTTATATCCATCATCCAAACGTCGCTTATTTTGGTATAAAATGTAAAAGGAAAGGAAACTTTGTTTTTCAGTGAAGATTGAAGTCCTAGGATTGCTTTTAACTCAGTGCTTGAAATCGAATAGCTGTCAAGACAACAGTAAATTGAAACATCAAACACATTACAGAATGAAGATACAGTATATTAATAAATGATGCAATTATTTTTATTATTCTTCTAGAATATCCAAGATACTTAAGCAGGCCTTTTTTGGGGGGATTTTGTATCTAAATTTCAAATATTGATTTTTATTATGAGCATTTTTTGCTACTTCACTTTTATAGGCTGAAATTAACGCTTTTCCACAGATGCTTCATTTCTATTAATTTGTATCAAAATAAAAATTTGAAGCAAAATTACTTTTTTTTCTGCTGATATAAAAATGATGCTATTTAATTTCACAGAGGCAAATAAAGACTTGCAATTTCTAGTGCCAGAAAAGCAGTGTCATTTTTCATCCCCCAGAGCATTCCTTTGTATTACAGATTTTGCTTTAAATAAAGCACTGTGATGCTCAGTTTGCGTAAAATTAGATAATATTTCCACTATATGAAGGTTCAATAGTCTTGCTGTTTGTAGTAGAACTAAAAGTAATATGGTGTTCCTATATTTATTTCATCCAGTAGGGTATTAATGTTGGAATAATTTTGTGTACTTTCAGATACTAATAATTAAAATGTTTCATGATTTGTACAGATAAACACAAGGACTGCTCTGGTGTAACTTTACATCTGACACATCAAAAGTAAGTATGTGTGAAAATATTTTTCTATTTTTAAGTCTTATTCATCAGAACACAATACATTGAAACCCCTGTAGATTACTTTGAAAGATGTGAAATAAAAGTATAATAAGTAATGCTTAATCCTGTGATGTATGTAATGCTATTTTAGAAGCCATGTATTATCTCTTGGTAAAATATGTTCTTTCGTATTAAGAAACTTTGATGCTATCAGCATTGAACTAAACCTTCATGGAAGGTTTAGTTTATGGAAGCCTCATATTCAGAAATTTGTGGCAAGGATAGGAACTAAGTAGAGGGTTATTTTGTCCAAATAAATTTTGCTTTGCAAAAGATGCTTTAAAATTGTAGCTCAGTATAACAGAAGTGAAGGAAGAACACTATGCCACAACTCCTTTCTGTTTGTCAGAGGCAATCCAACATTTAACAGCTGGTGGTGTTGAGTAGCATTGCACGTTGTATCACTCACAGCAGAAGTCTGCTCTTACAAAGGACTTGTTTAGCAGAGCTTGGGTTTTGAATTACAGGCAGCCTTTGATTGCTGGAATGTATCTTATGATGTCTGTGAACACTGTAATACCACCGGGTGAGAAAGGTAAGTTGTAACCCCACAAAGTGATAATGTAATTTTAACCTCTGATTTCTGGGGGGTTTTTTTGTTTTGTTTTGTTTTTTTTTGTTCTGTTTTCACCTGCTGATTATGGAAAAAGAAACTTAGCTGACACTTGCCAACCTGTAGATGGAAGCATTAATTGCTGTGTGAAGCAAATGATTTTAAAAAAATAAAGTAATAATTTTAAAATGGTATCATATTTCCAGATGAAATCCCAGATGCATTTGTTCTGTAAATTTTTGGCTTTTAAAGATTCAGTTTTAATAGAAGAAACTCTTCCAGTGAGGATTAGCTCTAAAAATTTTGTTCCTGTGTACCTTGGGTTAAAATGTCAATATGCTGAAGAAATATTATAGAACAAATTTTACATGAAATTCAGGTTAGATTTCACAAGTAATTCTTCAAGCTGGCTTGGAATGTTCTATTTAAAGCGAGTCAAACATCTGAGGACTCTATCCCTCCCAGGTACCGCCTAGCTGCCTAATAGGAGAAGGTAGTTAAATGTTCAACTGACCCCAAGTGTTGGGTCAATTCAACACCTTTAAATACTTTTGTGGGGGGAAATTAATTGTTCATTTTTGTTTAAAGATGAGTTGCAACTTAGCTTATTTTGTTCTGCCACATAAAAACATCAAATTGTTTTTTTTTTCTGCTGAAGTTTTTGATTAATTCAGTAATTGCATTGAAGCTGTGGGAGGGAGGAGGAAGAATAAAAATAGTTCTGTCTTCTGATGTCCAGTCAAATTTGCAGTTCTTAAGTAATGCATCAAGTTTGACATAAGCAGTAATGAGTCTGCCAGTCTGCATATGAACATATATCTCTCTAGGAGATATCTGCAGAGGAGTTCTTCTGGGCTTCCTTCCCCTTACCTGTTACATCCGCAGCTACCAGCCAATAGATCTTGTTTGCACAACTGTTCTCTGCTCAAGGCTGAATCTGTAAAGCAGGGCTTGTAATGAACTTAATAAGAACTTTAATGTATCATTTAAATATTAGTACTTCTTTATAATCTCTACCAGTTTGTTTTGAGTTCCTCCTGGTTAGACTGACTATCATGTGTATGTTTAATTTCGCTCAGTGCAGTCTGTAAGTAAATGCGTAGTCTTACTTTGAATAGTGGTACTGGAAAAAAGTATATTAGGGAACCTTAGTCTCATCTTGGATTTATATAATTGCAGGAAGTCATTTGCACATGACTTGTAGTGTGTTTAGTATATTTTTATTTTTTTTTCTTAACAAAAGTCTTGAGGTAGTGGCTATAGAAATGCAAGATGCTATTCAGTGTCTTCTAAAATTGTATGTTGCTCATTGTAACTGTACTTCTTGCATATTTTTCCATGTGAAATACTGCAGTTGTCATTTTCTTCAGTCCAATGAGTAATGTATTTTAAACTTGTTTATTGCCATCATATCTTAACAGTGGTTGATGCAGATATTGCCTGCCATTACAAAAGATTTCCAATGCACCTTTTTGCCTACAGAGTTCATACCCACAGACTAGGTAAGAGTTTTACTGCAATACTAGGAATATCAAGAATTTGTTGGAAAAATACTAAACCTACAATAATGGGGCTTTCTCAGAACTGCACTTGAGGCTCACCTGCACATTTGTATGTCATAGGTCAAGTAGTAAGTGGATACAGAGTGAGAAATGGTCAATGGACATTGATTGGTAGACAGAGTCCACAATTACCACAGGTTGGTGCTTTTTAAAATCTATTTTATTTTTATTCTAACTTATGTACTTTAAATGATAATTATTTAAAACTAAGCAGTTTAACTAGCAGTTCTCTATCCATAGGATTTGCATTGTGAAATTTCTTTTAATGTTCGCTAAGAATGTGCTAGAAATGACTACTGCCAAATAATATTATGATGTCATGATGGAAAAATAATGTGTAATCCATAGTAGTTCAGGGTTTTTGTAGAGGGAGTTCCAATTTTCCAAGTGCAAATTTTGGGATTTACTTTTCAGACTTGTTACACGTGTGTCCTCATGTGCACATTCGTGTAAATAATGTGAGACGCTGTCGCTAGTTCTGATGGCTCGTGCTTTCTTGCAGGCCTTCTATCCTGTGGAGCATCCTGTAGATATTCGCTTTGATGACATCCTCGCAGCTAGATGTGTGTTCAGTGGTGAAGGCAGAACTACTGAGACACATATAGGGTAAGTGGTCTCTATTTGATTCATTCCTCTAACCGCTTTTCCAAAGTATTTACTAGATGTGGAAACGCATTTGTTTCTTGTCTTCCAGCAAGATGATTGTAACAAGCTGTTAAAATGTTTTTGTCCAGTCCCTAGGCCTAAACTTTTAAGCAAAGGTTATAAATTTTGTAGAGACTATATTTCCTTTTCTGAAATGCTGAGAACGTTTCTCAGGTGAAGCTATCCTGCCCAGCACTGTGCTCAGATGTATAAAAGTTGAAATACTCTGCACTTAAAGCAGTGGTTTAAGATATTGACTATTCAAAACAAAATAATGAATCTCACAACTGTTTTTCTTATTTCAGAAAGAAAGCTTATGACAGTTGCTGAATTTCTTATAAATTCTGGCCTGTCTTGACATTTAACCAAAAAAGTGGAATAAAATGCCAGTTATTTTTTCCGATGTAAAAATCTGCAGACTTTTATGGAGAACAATTAAATCATAAGTGACTGGTAATAGAAATAGTGTGTGACTAGTATTTCTGATATAGAAATAGTATATGACCAGATAAGGAAAATATCATTGGCTGCAGTAGGTACTTGTTAATCCTTCAGGCTGAAAATAGTGTAGTATGTATCTTCCACTTTTGACATAGGTTTAATAGAAATTGCACCATTTAAGAGAAGATCCCTATATCAGGTTCATAGGTCTACAACAAAACTTAAGATTAAATAGTATGTCTTTTTTGGATGCTAAATCCTGTTTCATTATACCAATTTCCATGTTGATAGTGTATGGAAATCTAGATGCCCTCCTAGATTTCTGTGGCTGTGACGTGTAGGTGGTTTACAGGGATTTATTTTCTTTTGTTTTTTTTTTTACTTGCTCCTCAGCATATCTATTCTTTAAACTCCTTCATTCACAGACCTCACAATTTCTCAGTAGTTCAATATCTAATGGAAAGCACCTGCGTTGTGTGCCTATTTACTAAAACTGTTACTGACAGAGGGGTTTTTTTATTTTTTATTTTTTTTTTTAGACTGTAAACATTTAAAATTACCCACTTGGAAATGTTTAGAGACAACCAGCATGTGTCAGGTGAAACACAGGTCATCTGAATTGCACATCCCCTTTCTACTGGCCTTTCAAAGAGCAGGCAATTATACTGACAGCTATTGGAGTCCAGCTGCAAAGTGGATGATTTCTAAAAGCTTAAGCAAAGCCTGCCCAGCCAGAGACTGATTTTTCTGGTCTCCAGGGGACACTAAATTTTCAAAGCCTGGAAAAAACCCAATCCCCCTTTGGAAAGCGGCTCCTCTCCGTCCCTGCGGCCGGTGTCCCTGCTGTTGCTATGGAGAGAGCCGAGTGCTGCGTGGTGCCGCTGGAGGAGCCAGCGCTGCCGTCCTCGGCAAGCAGCTGAGAGGCCGCCCCGTGGCCGCTTGTGAGCGTGGGCTCACAAATTAATTGTGATAGCTGGTTAAAAATCTTCACGTGAAACCCGTTATTTGGCGACCCCTTCTTCGCAAGGCCTCGTTTACTGCATTGCCAGGCTGGTAGCTATGTACGTATGCAGAGACATGGCACAGAGAAGGAACAGAAGCAGATCGCTATTATAAAGAGGCCATGTATTTTCTGCTTCATAAAATAATATTTTTCAGAAAAATTCATATTTCACACCAGCTGTTGTTTTTCCTTCAAGGACAGGATTATGTAGCAATACAAAAGAGCCTTTTCTGTTTCAAGCATGTGCATAACACATATCAAAGAACTTAATTTGGCTAGTTTATTCCTGCTTCACCAATATTTTTCCTTGCAGACACTTGTGACAAAGTCACTGACATGATGGCAGTGCTGTCTTGTCATCAGGAGATTGCATTGTGACCAAGGTGGAGCTGGGCAGTAAATGGATGCACTTGACTGTGGAAAAAGACCTTCTTAAATTATAACTATTGAAATTAAACATTTGCATGAGTTTTTATTTTGATTTATTGTAGATTGACAGAGAGGTATATGAGTGGTAGAACAATAAATGATACAGTTTATCTTCTTTCATCAGAACATACACCCAGTTGATGACACACCAAGGAGAGACTCGCACTGGAAAAAAGAGGAGGAGACAGTATAAATACATGCTGATACCATTCCTTTAGAATCAAAATATAAATCTTGTTAATTTCTGAAAAAAGGGGGAAATCTAGTAAATCTTGGGAATTTCTGAGAAGCCTGATCTTCTCTAGTATAAATCAAAAGCAGTTTCAGTTGCTGGTTCCCTGCAGTGAATCTATGTGATGTTTTAGGTGGGACTGGTAACACTTCTCTGCACCTTTTTAATACTAGATTAAGTAAGTTAGAAATGAATAACAGAGATACTCAGCTATTTTTTTTCCTCTTCTCCTTGCTCTTTTTTTTGTGCTGTTTAGGGGAACAGCTAATGATGAAATGTGCAACTTTTACATTATGTACTATATGGAAGCCAAACATGCTGTCTCATACATGACCTGTACACAGAATGCAAACCCTGAGATGTTCAGGAACATACCACAGGAGGCAAATATTCCTATTCCGGTCAAGCCTGATATACTAAAGATGGCGCATGGACATCATGAAGGTGAAAATAAAACCTTGGAATGCATTTTATTTAGGCCGTTTTTCATGGATGTGTTTGTTTGTATTGCTTTAAGGTGCTAAATTTTCATAGAAGGGAAATGGAGTTCTGAATAAACCCCTTGTTGCTGATGATAGAGCAGCATGAGCTTTAGCAGGATTCTTCTGCTTCTCTTTTCCCTTGCTTCTCTTTTGGGGGGGAAAATGTCTGCTGTCATTTTTCATCCTTTTCATTGTCATCTTTTCTTCCAACTATCAACATTTTCTTGTTTTTTTGTTTGTTTTTAATAGCTGCATGAGCAATGTACCCAAGACAGTATCTTCTTTACTGTGCCAAATCTCAGTATATTATACTAACAGTCTCTTCATAACGCATTAGTTATGTCCATTTCTTGTGAGGCTGAAGTGTGACGTTTTCATAACATTCCAGGTCTTACTGCCTTCATGTAAACATTTTTATGTTTGTGTGTTTTATATTAAACACTGCTATGCCTACATATTGCCTCAGCAATATTTTACAGGAATGAGCTGGCTGGTCTATATAGTAAAGTACTGTTCCATGCAGGGCACTAAATATCAGACATAGTGTAGTTGCATCAGCAGCTTGGAAAAATAATAAGTAGTTATGGCAAAATACTGTTTGGGACAGAGTTACATGGCTGTTCATGCTGGAATTAATTCTCTTGGAGTTATTGGGCAATACATTGCATACTCTAAATACTAAGACTTCTAAAAGTTAGGGTGTAGGTCACACCAGATATTAAGTAATTGGAGGATTATCAGAAAAACACAGAAACACTTACCAGTTTTCTTTCACTGACTTCATTGACTTGGGATTGCCATTTAAATTGGATTTTAAGCCACTGATCAAATCGGTTTATGCTACCGTATCCCAAAGGTCTTATGAAAATTAGAGCTTCATACAAAATTGTATGTCACACATTGTCTTCGGTTTGATTTAAATAAATAAAATACCATACATTCCAGCTCTAGAATGGGTCTACCTACATAGAGCTAGATTGACAGGTAGTCATATAGATCTAAACTTATATTGATACCTCTCTTGTTTCCTTGTTAGATGCACAAATCTGAATCTTTTATTTCAGTTATTTTAATACTGCATTGTTTGCAGACTCCAGTATAGATAAATAAAAATAGCAAACGTCAGGAAGTTGGGTTTTTTGTTTG